CCACAACGACGACGACGACTACTACTACTACAGCCACAACAGCCACGACCGCGACGACAACGACGACGACGTCGACGACAACGACACAGAATAAAGCCAACCACTAAGACAAAGACACAGACAACCGCAAAGGCAAAGATACCGCAAGGTCAACGACAATGACAAAGACCGCGACGATGACGATGACGACAACAATAACAGCAGCCGCAGCAACAACAACAACAGCAGCCACAGCACCAGCAGCAGCAGCAGCAGCAGCAGCAGCAGCAGCAGCAGCAGCAGCAGCAGCAGCAGCAGCAGCCACAGCAGCAGCAGCAGCAGCAGGGGAAACATCAGCAGGAGGGGCAGCAGCAGCAACAGCGACAGCGCCAGCAACAGCAACCACAAGCGTCACAGCCACAGCAACAGCACTGGCACCAAGACCACCACCGCAAGCAGCAGCCGCAGCAGCAGCAACAGCAGCAGCAGCAACATCACCACCACCACCAACAACAACAACAACAACAGCAGCCGCAGCAGAGCCCATGCAGAAACGTGGTACACACAATATTGGCAATGTCACTGGCGAGTTTCATGTTGAGGTGCCCCTAACAAGACGGCTACGTACCAAGATTGTGCAGGCAGAGGAACAAACTTTTTTGAGACACATGGTAGCCTCAATTAGGAATTAGCACGGTCAATGACAACATCATGACATATGCTTTAACCAGCCTTGCCTCGCAAATCCAACAAACCCTGAACCGATAAGCCAACTTTGCGCCTCGATGCATATGCCAGGAACCGGAGGTAAGCCTTAAAACCTAACCCCAATTGTCCAAGATAATCTCCCCCGTGCGCCCTTCGTTGCGGAGGGTGTGGTGTGAAAGTTTCAGATAACGGCTCCCCAAAACAAAGACTTCGGAGTATTGGGTTTATAGGGTTGAGGGACCCTCATTCATGGGTCCCTAAACACTACGACCCTGATTGGAAGAGCGCCTAAAAAAGGGGTCCCCCGTTTTCTGAAACTCCCAAATGAGGGCCACCAGATCGGATGCAAGGAGCTTCCGAGGATCCTTGAGTAAACGCCTTTTGATGGGAGCTGAGGTTTTATGGGCTGTCTAGGGTTGTCCCATGTTCCGGTATCTAGGGCTTCTAGGGGTGAGGGCTTATAGGGTTTGTGACTTTGGGTTTTACATACCTCGATTCAATTGTGAGAATCTAGAACTAGGATCCTATTTTCGGCCGCTTCCCTCTGGAGAGAGATCCTCTCAATTAGTCTCTGTCGACAACCACTCTTCAATGGCCCCCAGCGCATCCTCCAATGAGGCTTTTCCGTTACCTGGTTCCGAAGCGCTGAACCCTACACATGTTGATATTCAGGATTTGTTGGGAGTCCTTGCGGAAACTTTCGGGTGCTTCCAGGTTTCTGCATGTCTGGCTGTTTCCCTGAATTTTATGGCGCGGCGCAGGTCTCACTTTTAGGTTCTTTCCATAAGAGCCATGTTCATGCGTCGTCTCTGCTAAAGTCCTTCCTCGCATAGTGCAGCTACAGACAAACACATGAAGCTCAAGTTTCCGTGCAGGTGCGATGTTGTCACACGATTGCCGTTGGTGCCTGTGAGCTTTGCCTGTTGAGACTAGCTAACATGAGCAGTTTGAACACCATCCATCGGTCTTCTAGGTGTGCCTTGGCGAACAAGATAGATTTCCTGTTCAGTTGTTTGCCCAGCCCAGCAAAAAGCTGGATGGGGATCGACGTGAAAGGTGCCCCCCAGCCTGAGGGTACTTTAGCTTTGATCTGTTGGATAATGGGCTCAAGACCTAGCCAACTTGAAAGGGCGTCCAACCCGATGCCTGCGTCCACATCACCACCACTATGAATCATCGTTGACATCATCATCATCATCATCATCATCATCATCATCATCACTATCATCATCATCATCATCATCATCATCATCCGCACCGAATGGTGGCAGCAACACATACCAATAAAGAACTTACATAACTGTTGAATTGTGAAAGCAACCACCAGAATAGTCAGAACTGTACGTCAAGTATTCAACAATGACAGAACATTTTACAGCGGCAGCTACAACGACGACGACTCCTATCACTACTACGACGACGACCAAACTTACCTCTACACCTGTGAATACTCTTACAACAGCAACAGCAGCAACAACTACAACTACGACTACGGCGACGACGAAGATGCCTTCTGTTACCACTACTATGGCTTCTGCTGCTGCTACTGCTACTACTACTCCTACTGCTACTACTACTACTATTACTAATACTATAACTATTACTATTATTACACTACCACGACGACTACTACTACTGCTGCTGCTGCTGCTACTACTACTACTACTACTGCTACTACTACTACGACTACGACAACTACGACTACTACGGCTACTACGACTACTACGACTACTACGACTACTACGACTACTACGACTACTACGACTACTACCACTACTACCAATACTACCAAAACTACCAATACTACCAACACTACCAATACCACCAATACTACTACTAGTTA